TAAGAGTGGAGAGGAGAAACTTCTCTTGTAAAGAATGTCATCGATGAAGAGGAAATGGGCTGACCTCCTTCTCAGCTTGTAAGCCTCATTTTTTTCGGTCGGTAGCACCTGGTCTTTCAGATATGCTATAATTGGTTGCATCCAGGTGGGAATTCCGTCGACCCACATGACATTAGGGGCTTCGGTAGAAGGCAGTAGAAGATGCTCGATAGGCACTACAACGAGTAGCTCTGAGTCCTTGCTACTAGCCAGCTTCGAGAGTACGTCCGCATGAGCATTTTTTATGCGGGAAATCTGGATTAACTCGAACTTTTCAAAGGATGGGATGAGGCTCACCACCATTTTCAGATAGGAGGCCATCATTTTGTCTCTGGCTGAGAAACTACCATTGACTTGGCTAACAACCAGCTGGGAGTCACTATTGACGAGTAGCTTCTTTACTTGCATTTTCTTGGCCAGTCTGAGGCCTGCAAGGAGTGCTTCATACTCTGCAACATTGTTGGTAGCTTTGAACCCGAACCTCACGGCCGAAGTGAGTTTGTGACCCTCGGGGCTGATGAGGATAACCCCGGCACCTGAGCCGACATCCCCAGCCGAGCCATCTACGAAGAGACTCCACCTGGGGGTTCGACGGGCTCCATGATTTCATCCACCTCGGGTAGGTTGGCGAATTCAGCAACAAAGTCTGCTAACGCTTGCCCTTTGATGGCCGCCCTTGCTTTGAACACAAGGTCAAATTCACTTAATTCCACTGCCCATTTCAACAATCTCCCCGAGGCGTCGGGCTTCTGGAGTACTTGCCTCAGGGGAAAATTTGTAAGTACATGGATGGTATAAGTTTGGAAGTAAGGTCTCAATTTCCTAGAGGCCGTGATTAAGGCCAAAGCAAGCTTCTCCATATCGGGATATCGGGTCTCCGGCGATAGGAGCGCTTTACTCGTATAGTAGACGGGAAGTTGGTTGGGCCCTTCTTCTCGAATCAAAATCGAATTGATGGCGTCATTGGAGATGGCGAGATATAGTTGCAAGATGTCGCCGGGCTTCAGCTTGGAGAGGAGGGGGGCCTGCCCCAAGTGCCTTTTCAATCCTCGGAAGGCCTCTTCACATTCCTCAGTCCATTGGAATTTCCTCCCGGCCTTGAGCACTTTGAAAAATGGGAGGCATTTGTTAGTGGCCTTGGAGACGAAGCGACTAAGTGCTGCCACTCGTCCAGTTAAGTATTGCACCTCCTTTTGGCTTTTGAGGGGACCTCATCTGGCACAGAGCCTCAATCTTCTCGGGATTTGCTTCAATTCCCCGCTGGTTGACCATGTACCCCAAGAACTTGCCGGAAGCCACCGCAAAGGCACATTTTAAGGGGTTGAGTCTCATCCTGTACCTTCTTAGTATTTGGAAGGTGTTGTTGAGGTGCACTATGTGGTTCTCTGCTTCTAGGCTTTTTACCAGCATATCATCCACGTAGACCTCCATTGTCTTGCCGATGAGGCCGGTAAAAATTTTGTTCACGAGTCTTTGGTAAGTTGCTCCGGCATTCTTCAACCCGAAGGGCATTATTCTATAGCAATAGAGGCCTCGGTCCGTGATGAAAGAGGTGTGTTCCTCATCGGCCGGGTGCATGGGGATCTGGTTGTAGCCGGAGTATGCATCCATGAAGCTCAACAACTCGTGCCCAGCCGTGGAGTCCACCAATTGGTCAATTCTTGGAAGCGGGAAGCTATCTTTCGGGCAAGCTCTATTAAGGTTGGTAAAGTCGATGCATACTCTCCATTTGCCGTTGTGTTTCTTAACCAAGACCGGGTTGGAGACCCATTTCGGATAAGTGGCCTCCCTGATGAAGCCATTTTGGATAAGCTTCTGAACTTCTTCCTTTAGGGCCTCATACCTCTCTCGATTGAGGGCTCTCCTTTTTTGTCTATGTGGGACGAAATTAGGATCGATTTTCAAGTGGTGGCAGCTGACGTTGGGGTCTATGCCCACCATGTCCTCATGTCTCCAGGCGAAGACGTCGAGGTTCTTGCCTAGGAATTCCTTGATCTTTTCTCTCAAAACGTTGGATAAGCCCTGCCTATCTTCAACATCTTTGATAGATCTCGAGGGTCGGCTGAGAAGCTCTCAAGTTCCTCTATAGGGGACGCTTGAGGGTCATGTTCCATTATGCGGGGGTCGAGTTCATCAACGATTAACACCTCCTGAAGAGGTGGTGCATCAATCATATCAACATCTTCCTGGCCGGCGGGAGCGTCACCTGGGACATCCGCCATGACCACATCAGCCACGATCACGTGGACGTCCCGGGGCTCTACCTTCTTAATGGAGCTCAGATAGCACACTCGCGAACCTCTCTGGTCGCCCTTCACCGTTGCCACCCCGTTTTTCGTTGGGAATTTCATGTATAGATGGTGGATGGAGGTGACTGCTCCCAATTCCTTTAGGGCCGGTCTACCCAAGACTCCGTGGTAAGCCGACCGGCTGTCAACTACGAGGAACTCCATAAAGTTCATCATAGTTTGGGGAGATTCTCCCATCTCTACTGCTAGTGTCATCTTTCCCCTTGGAGTGATGCTATCTCCGGTAAATCCGTACAATGGAGTAGTGGTGGGTGTCAACTGGTGGTCCAATAGCATCTTGTCAAAGGCGGACCCGAACAAGATGTTGACGGAGCTGCCGTTGTCGACTAGCATTCGTTTGAGCCCATTTCGGGCTATGACAGCTCTCACCACCAGCGCATCGCAGTGGGGGTAATGAACTCCTTCG